TGAGAAATACGAAACTCTACAAGGAGAAAAAGAAGTAACCCATATTTGTCTCATGGCCAATGAAGAAGAAGAGGTAAGTACTTCTAACTCTCATTCTTTTGAAGAATTACAAGAAGCTTTTAAAGAACTATTTGGTGAATTCAAGAAAGCTTCAAAAATTGCCAAAGAGGCTAAGGCTAAACTTCATGCTTTAGAAGAAGAAAATAAATTTTTAGAAAATGATAATCTTGACCTTAAAAATAAGATTAAGGCAATGAACGAAGCTTCTTCCTTTGACCAAAGTTCTACTTGTTCCTCTTGTGAATCTTTAAAACTAGAGAATGTAGAACTTAAGAGCACCATAGAAAAACTTAAGGTAGAAGAGCCTAAGAAACTTGGTGAAGAAGTTAAGAATGATAAACCATCTAGAAAAACAAATAATCCTAGGAATAACAAAATTAATTTTAGAAAGAATAAAAATAATAAGTTGAGACAACCTAGAAATGACTCTAAGATTTTTATAAATGATAAAAATAATTTGAGACAACCTAGAAATGAGAATAGGAACTTAATTAATAACTCAAGGAATAATGACTTTAGATCACCTAGAAAATTTTTGGCTCAACCTAGGCATATGCATAATCCAAATGTAGTTTGCCATTATTGCTCTAAGATAGGATACATAGCACCCGTTTGTTTTACCAAACACAGGGATTTGTTTTATAGCTATGATTATTATTTGCCTAACCCTCAAGGACCCAAACGTTTTTGGGTACCTAAAAATTATTTTTAGATGCATATGTAGGTGTGTTTGAAGACTACATTTTTGTAGTGGATGCTCCAAGCACGAAACCTAATGATTTGCATCAAGGGAAATTTGGGGGGGATTGTTTTTGCTATAAACATGGTATCAGTTTCAGGGGGAACATACAACAATGATGTTTTGTATCAAACATCAATGCTCAGGGAGTACCTTTATTTTTTAAACTTTACTTAGTGCTTTTTGCTAATGCCAAAAGGGGGAAGTGTTTGGGTATATGCAACAAGTGAGGGGGAATCTTGTTTTCAAAGACGCAGGGGGAATTACCATTACTCTCTCTTTGAAAACCCAACTTGGCTTGCATATCCCCGCCATGGTTTGTCATTATCAAAAAGGGGGAAATTGTTGGAAAACATTTTCACTTTGACATTTTGCTAATGACAATGTTTGTTTCCGTTTAGGTTTTGATATTGACAAACCATTGGGAACATGGAACAAAATCAAAAGATTCAAAGAGATAGAAAAAGTTTTTTGAAGAAACAAAAAGCAAAAGAAAGGCATTGACGTTGCTAAAGATGTCGACATTGGCGCTTTGAAGACGCATTCTAAAGACTTAGGTTTTATTGTAACAAGCTCATTCAATTTCTCTACGTCATGGCTCAAAACAAAATATTTTTTTTCATGCATCAAATTAGTGTTTTCATAAATGGTTTTTAATTTTCTAAAACCCATGGTTCTTGCTTAACAAAAACCATAACCATCGGTTATCGGCGTTCGGCTATGGCGTTCAGTTTTCGGCATTGGTAATTTGCATTGATTTTAACCAAAGGGTTTTTGGGTTTTTATCTTTGGTTTATGCTTCTGGACACATTTAAAGGTTTTCCAAATGATTAGTTTTCAAAAACCATAATCTTTGTTTTTCGGCGTTGGTTATCGGAATTCGGCGCCGGTTATCGGTGTTGGTTTTTGGCGCCCAAATCAATCAAGTGGTTTTTAAGATTTTATGATTGTTTTTTACTTCTAGACATATCCAAATGGTTCTCCAACAAAAACATGTCAAAAACCACCTTTCGTTTTTGGTCTTTTGGTGAAAACCATGTGAAACGGCATAAACTTGGCTAGCCGTGGTTTTTACCTTAATGAAGTGGTTTTTACGTTTTTATACTTGGTTTCTACCTAAAATACATTATATAAGAGTTTCCAACACTTGGTTTTAATTTTGGAGAACTTTGGTTTTTGACATCGGTTTTCAGCGTTGGCTGCCAAACCATGGTTCTGGCAAACCATCCCGACATGGTTCTGCCAAAAGGGGTCTCTTGGGTCTACTTTTCACATCCATTCCTCACACATTTCATAGCTTTACATTGCATCATTCCATAAACTTTTTACATAGCTTTTTAGAGCCATTTCTTGAGGAATTGAGTGTGTTCTTGATCTAAATTAGTTTACTCATATTCTACTCTTTAAGAGAGTTTTTGTTCTTGAGTGGTTAAGTGTGGTGAACACTTTAAGGGAGGTTTGTTCCCTTGGTTGTACGAAGGAAGGGCATATTCCTTCGAGTTNCGAGCAAGTGTATTGAGGCTCGTGGGACTCGAGTTCTCAGGTTGTAACGGTTTGTTAAGCACCCGTAAGCTTAACGGAAGTAGTGTAGCTCGAGAGAGTCTCTCGGGAGACTGGACTAGCCACACGTTGTGGTGAACCAGTATAAATCTTGGTGTGCTCTCTTTACGCTTTTTACGCTCTTTATTTTTTAGGTTCTTTACTTTATCCCTGCGATTTTTATTCCGCGAAAACTTATAAACATTCTCGTGCCTCACTATTCACCCCCCTCTAGTGAAGGGCACTTATTCTAACATCAGAGAAGTTCGGTTTTGTGAAAAAAAACATATTTCGTCATTTTGGTCAAAGGGTATTTTCAAAAGTCCACAGCCGCATCTCCCATCACATCACTTCCAGGGAAAGGTACACCGTTATTTAATTCACTTAAATGTCATATTGTAATTAGTTCTGATTTAAGCTCTTCTTAGAGAGAATGAGCCAAGCAGCAGGCAATGATGGACAGGTTGTCCCACATGGGGAGCCTGAGCACGTGAGCACACATCGAAGCATCATACTAATTGCGTTATACGCTCACTTGTTCCTATTTTGATACTCTGCGATTGTTAGATGGGTACCATTAGTACCAGAAGCGTGTCAAGCGTTGACTCCAGTCAAACCTTCGTGCTTGGTAAGAGACGAAAGAACAAGAGGCAAAGTTATGATTCGAAAGAGCGCTACCAACGTGCACATCGCAAGGCTCGGATAGCAAGGCTAAGGATCTGGAAGCGCCGGAAGGCATCATGGGAAAGAGATGATCCAGAGGAAACGTTCAGCGTGGACTCTGCCAATAGTATATGCGGCGCAGGTGTGGATATTTCTTCAGTGGACTCAGCCCGACTAGACTAGTGGGTTACCTGCTAACTTATGACATAGTCGAGGTTGTAACCGATGCAACATCTTGCCCCACTTGTCCCAACCAAATATGTTCCTTGAATGAAATCTGTCAATTGGTCTTTAATCTATTATGCACTCGTATGCTTCACAAAATAAAGTTTTGGGTAACGCACTATCTCCCTAAACACGTGAGGTGTGACTCGAGGAGAATTTCGGGGACGAAATTCCTTCAAGGGGGAGATAATTGTAACGCCCTACAACCCGGTCTATTAGAATTGATTGTTTTAAATAATTAATTACTGTTCCGGTCTAGAGTTGGGGAAAATAAAATTTCTTAGAAAAATTATTTGAACATGTCAATAAATTCGTTTTGAGTGTCTAATTCCAAAAACGCAAACGGATCTCAATTCGGACGCGTTCGGGGGAAAAAGCGCGTACCGTTCAGTTCAGATTTTACGTAACGGAGTAAAATAAATATTTGTAACCCCCTAAACCCCTTGGTTCGGCCCCCCAACACCACCATCATTGTCCATTTTTAGGCTCTTAATCCACCATAATAACCCCATCACTCCCATCCTCATCATATTCTATTTTTGTAACTTCCCCACCATTATTCTTTTATCAAAGCTTTCATCATCATCATCCATCTCCCTCCTCCTTGTTCGGCCAGGCCAGCAGCCAAGGAAAAGTCTCCGGCGGAGCTCCGGTGGGTGCACGATTGAGGGAAAAGGAAGAGAAGAAGAGCTAGGCCGTTCGTGCGAAGCGTAGTCATCATTCCTCGTCATCTTCGTAGTTTCAACGTATCGTTTAGAGGTGAGTAGTTGTCCCCTCTAATTCTAGAACATCAAGTTATAATCTATGTTGTTATATTCATAGGAATATCGTACGAAACCTACGTAGAATCTATGCATGTTCGTAGGTTAGCCATCAAAATGTTCACTACGTAAAAATTGTATATATTGGCCTAGGAATCACTAGGAATATTTTCATAAATGTTTACATTATTGTTCTAAAAAGAATCAAGGCGTTAAGTTCACAAAACGGATCAAAACGAAGCCAGAGTCAGTGAACTGTCTACGGGACGGTCGACCGCCGCTAAGGCCGGTGGACCGTTTCCCTTGACCGTCCGTCGGCCACCACCATAGCGGTCGACCGCCGGCTGCGATGGAAGACCGGGGTGGACCGTCGGCATTCTAGAACTCCATAACGTAGCTCACGGTCGACCGCCAGTGGGGTACGGTCGACCGTTTCCCAGGCAGTTTTTCGGACAGTTTGTAGAACGAGCCCCGTTGACCATATTAACTCAGAATCTGATTGTATGTTTGTATGAAATGTTAATCTTCATTATTATGTTATTTATTGATATATTCTTGGCGTTGACCAAAGGTAAATATATCAAGCATTCATCATGTTCATTCTAGACGCATGTCCTAGGTTTATCATCATGTGCATACCACTGTAGGGAGGTCAGGCTTTCGTGCGCCTACTACAGTGGGCCCGTCCAAAAACCTTCGGGATCCAACGGGTTTTCATCAGGTGGGCTTTGTGTACGTACATGGTAGTTCACTTGCGACATTTACGTCGAGCCCGACTCTTTACCAGAGTACAGGGGTGATCCTGTCAAGTGAGACTAAGCCAGGGGTGTCCCTGATAGTTTAAGTCATGCATCAAGTCATATCGTCATCATGTGTGTTCCATGTCATGTCGACATTCAATGTGGTTGTTATTCATTTTGTTATGTCTAAAAATATCTCATCAAGTGCAAGTTAATCAGTTAGTAAACATGTGGTTTTCCGTACGTTAAAGTACAGGTATTAATATGTGTATAATCATATGGGTTATCACTTCATGTTCTTTTGTTAGATTCACTCCTCAGCTTTTGCTGAGCGTGTAGTTGTTTTTGCTACACGCAGGTAGACATGACGGTACAGGTGCCAACCCTGGAGGACAGTGATGATGGGAAGATGGGCGGCGCGCGGACGAGTTTAATAAGTATAATCATTGGAATTAATTAGTCATTTGGGCATGAACCCATCATATGTCGTGTTACCTATTTTGGACTTATTTATTTACTTCTGCTTTTACTCTGCATTTATACCACATACGTTTTGGGAATAACTCCTTTTACTTCCCTAGCATTTATTCCGCTAATTAAACACAACCGTTTTCACAATAAATAGTCATTAATGTTTTTACGTTACGGACGGTTCTCGGACCGCCCATGTAACCCTACCGGTCCGTTGGGTCGCGGGTGAACCGGGTCCAGGGAAGGCGGGTGTAACATTATATGGACAATCGTTCCCCTTGTTGTAGGGGACAAATTTGGTGGAGGAAAACGAGTGTCAATGAGACCTTTTTATAGCACCTAATATGTTTTTTTTCAGATTTTGTAACTCTAAAGGAATCTGGCTTGGCAAAATTGAGGGTCACGAACCAAATCTTGTACAGGACAACAAATTTCAAGGTCCAACGCATGTCAGGATCATAATTTGGTTGACCTCCAATAAGATGAAATTACTGGAGACTCTTTATAATTTTATCAATATGATCGTAAAATGCAAACACTCCTTCGTCGTGCTCAATTTCTCAATGTAGAAATTCTCCTGCAAACCAATAAGTTTGTGCAGTGCACAGGTACATATAATCAATGCCTTTAACCGTGCAAATCGAGCCTCCATTTGTGACGAAAAATTATAGTGCGTGATGGGCTACTTTTAGGTTCTTTTTTCCATTATTTCTTACTCAAGCCTTGTACCCCCTAGACTAGTTCCCCCAATCAATTTGATTTTGATAGCAAGAGCAGTGTAGCGTGTAAATTGCCTTCCTGAGCATATCAGCAAGTTGATCCATAAAAGAAACATGAAAGATAGTCATAGTTTTAGCAATAACTTGTTCATGACCAAAGTGACAATCGATGGCTACATGCTTCATGCGTTTCTGAAACACAAGATTCTTGGTCAAGCGGTAGCCAAATATTCAAGACATCAAATATACGGAGTATATGTTAATCACATCACTTCAGATGCTGCAGAGTAAAGAGCACGATATTTTGCTTCAGTGGAGGATTTAGAGACACAACTTTATTTCTCTGTACTCTAGGAAATAAGATTTGGACCAAGGTAGACTAGTATCCAGTAATAGAACGTTTATCTATTATATCATTCGCCCAATCTGAGTCAGAGAAGACATGTAGAGCCAAAGGACTTTTTCGGAAAATTAAGCCATGGTTGAGAGTGCCTTCAATGAGTAGTAGGATCCGCTTAAGGGAGTGGAAATCCTGCTTGGTGGGTGCATGCATGCACTGACAAACATAATTTACAACAAAACTGAATATCATGTCTAATTTTGGTGATATAACAAGGAGCACCAACCAGGTTGCCGTAAAAAGTTGGAATTTCAAAAGGAGTGTCAGTGCCATCATCTCTTGGGCGAACGACAGTAGGAGTCGAGCACAACTTGTAGTCATCCGTGCCGACCCAATGAAGTAATTCATGTGTATATTCTTCTTGAGAAAGAATCAATAAATCCCTTGTGTGTTTGACTTTGAGCAAGAAAGAAGTGAAGTGGATCAAGATCTTTCATTAGAAACTCGTACTGCATGACATGAATAAACTTGTTGATGAGGGGCAGAGGTGCTACATGTAACAATAACATCATCAACATATAAAAAAGGTATAAGAATGCCCTGTGAGGTACAGATAAAAAAGAAGCTAGTGTCATGCTCGTTTCTCACGAAGCAATAATCAAGGAGAAAACATGATAAACGCTTCTACCATGCTCTAAGTGCATGTTTTAAGCCATTAAGAGATTTCTTCAACTAACATATATAATCAAAATATTGTTGATTAATATAGCTAAGGGTTGCTGCATATAAATCCTTTCGGGCACCTCGCCATGAGGAAATGTATTGGAGACGTCTAACTGATGTAAATGCCAATAATAGCTAACCACAAAATAAAACAATCTAAATAGTCTATTGTTTGACAACAAGGCTGAATGTCTAAAAATAGTCAAGACCATACTTGAGTGTACCCCTTAGCAACCATACGCGCCTTATACCTAGAAATTGAACCATCCGTATTATGTTTGCTTTTGTAAACCAACTTACGGCCAATAATAACCCGATCTGAGGGTGCTGGAAAAAGGTCCTATTTGTTCTAATTCATCAAGGCATTGAATTTCTCATCCATAGTCTGACACCAATTGCTAATCTTAGAGGCTCATTTGTATGCGACAGGCTCAGTATTAAGTGGTGTAAAGGGTGGTATAGTAGTAGTATAGAGCTTAGGTTTGAACATATCACTATGGGCACGAGTAGATATTGGGTGTAGGCATGGTATGATGTCAGGGGAGGTGGAGGCGATGGGGATGAATCAAGACTTGAGTGGCTTATAGGAATGATTCAAAACTAAATTGGGGAGGTGGGTGGTGTGTTTCGAGTAGGAATGGGAATATCAGGTTGAGAGGTTGGTTGGATGGCGGGTGGGGGTTGGGTGACGGGTGGGGGTTACGTTACGTGTGGGTTTTGAGCTACGGGCTAGGGGTGGGTAGGTGGTACTGTATGGATTAAGTTACGTAAGGGATCCTTGTGAGCGAGAGAGTATCCTTTACACGAATTGACCATGAAAAGAGGCAGCACACAGAAAAAGAAAAAATGGAGAGGAAGTAGAGATATGTGACTCAGACACAGTAAGAGAGGAGTAAAGGAATTGATTTTCTTGAAACTCCACATGTGGAGAGATATGCATGTGAGGTCATAGCAACGATATCCTTTGGAAACAGAGTCATATCCAAGAAAAATACACTGCCGAGACCGGGGTTGAAACTTGTTGTCGATTTCATGACAAAGACAAAAATAAGAGAGACAACAAAAATCCGGAGAATAGTATAATCTTGATGAGTACCATAAAGAACTTTGTATGGAGTCATAGAGTTAAGGGATCTTTTGGGCATACGATTAATCAGAAAATTTGTTGTATCAAAGGTTTCAACAAAAAATTAGCAATAAGAGATGTAGTGCCGTGAAGAGTAACAAGGGTCTCAA